GGGGGAAGTTGTGCGGGGGGGGTGGGGGTGGGGGGGGGGGGGGGGGGGGTTATGTTGGGTCGGTGGGGTTAAGGTATAAAAGGGAAAGGACTCTTGTCATGGTGACATTGACGAAGATTAACTAATAGGTTCGCAAGGGACATAATCCTTCAACAAAAAAAATCATGATAATGAAGTCCCTTATATTCCCCACCAAAGCTGCTTCTTCGCATGAAGTGACGATATTATTGACCTATGCACTAAATAAGTTAATGGCATGGACAGTAATGGCATGGATAGTAATGGCATGGATAGTAATGGCATGGATAGTAATGGCATGGATAGTAATGGCATGGACAGTAATGGCATGGACAGTAATGGCATGGATAGTAATGGGATTCATGGATTCCACAAAATACGAACCTTTGATCCTTTGATTTCACTTTATAATCCTGTGCGGTTTTTTTTTTGTTTGTTTGTTCCTTTTTTGGTGTTGTTTTGTTTTGTTTTTAGAGAGAAAGGGGGGGGGCGGGTAAATGCCACTGCACCCACGTGCTAATTTTCTATTTGAGGTTTAGAAATTTAAATACTACAGAATACCTCCACCCCCACCCCCCAATATTTATAACAATTTTAGTTTTCATTTCCACTGAGATCTGATCCTATAGTTTGTACCACCGTCCCTCTCACAAGCGTGACAGCGCCACAGTCCCTCCTTTAGTTTCGGTCTTTAGCAGCGTTGTAGTTGTACGGCTGTGCATAGCTGTGCCGTTGTAGTTGTGCATAGCTGTGCGTTATCTCTGCTAAAAGTTCATGTCTCCGCATTATGGATTTGTAGACCATTCGGACGTGGTCACGTGACTTCTGTGACTTCCGTGTTATTGGTTTGTGTGCGTATTACAGCCCATCTCCACTGTTACGATGCCAATGTATTAAAAAGCCCCCCCCCCCCCAAACCTCCATTTACGCCCTTATTTTTCTTTAACTTATTATGTAACTAATAATGTAACTTATTATGTAACTAATAATGTAACTTATTATGTAACTAATAATGTAACTTATTATGTAACTAATAATGTAACTTATTATGTAACTAATAATATAACTTGTTATGTAACTAATATGTAACTTATTATGTAACTAATAATGAAAGATGACTTGGGATGACTCGTGATGACTGGTGGATTAGGGTTTAGTCATCAGTTTAACGGAAATGGCTATGTACCGGCTATATCAGTTCACTGACTATACCAGTTCACCGGCTATGTTTTCAATTTGCCAGCACCAATGCATCAGGACACCGCTATATTTGTTATCAGTAATTTACCAAATTTAAAAAAAAAATGTCTACTTTTGTGTGTGCTCCCAATGGATTAGTTTAATGCAATAAACGTCACCGTTGTTTGTTTTTTTTTGTTTTTTTTAATATTTATTTTTTTATATGAAATCCTCTGGTTTAAATAGCTGTATAGCAGTAAAGCCACAACGTCTGTTGGATGACATAAATATCTTTAAAAATTGTTTAAGGAAGTCAAAGGTCAAAAGTAAATGCGGCGCCCCCCCCCCAACATAACACGTGAATGTTATTTTAATCTTCAGCCGTTAATTAATGTTTGCTACACTCTCAGAATGTCCTTTCGCGGCAAAGCCACAACGTCTGTTGGATGACATAAATATCTTTAAAAATTGTTTAAGGAAGTCAAAGGTCAAAAGTAAATGCGGCGCCCCCCCCCCCAACATAACACGTGAATGTTATTTTAATCTTCAGCCGTTAATTAATGTTTGCTACACTCTCAGAATGTCCTTTCGCGGCTCTCCATAAATCAGGGCTCCTCACGGGACATCTCAGGATCCCTGACACTGACAATTTTATAGTGTGTCGTTAGTGTGTCATCTTTAAAAGCCCTTGTTACTGTTTAGGGGCGGCAGGGGTACGACGTGTGAGTCGTGTTCTTTTTTCGACGTACCACTGCGACTTCCGGCGCCATTTTCATAAGGTTTCCTACCTGACATTGGCTGGTACTATACTTTGAATTGAATTGAATATTTATATAGCGCTTATATCCATGCTATTATAGCATGCTCACAGCGCTCTGTTCTTAAAGCTATTTAAACAAAAAAGTCTTTAAATGTTTCTTAAAAGATTTTTTATCATTGTCAATGTCCCTCAAGGATTGGGGCAAACTTTAGTGATAGATATTATACATTACCTGAATCCAGTAAAGCTTACCACACTATTGAGCATCATTAGAGTTCTCTTATCTTACTAAGACACTGACATATTATAATAGACGATATTGGTGCGCACATCTGGTCGTCCGGACACCATAAAAACCTGCCAGTTAATCTCTACTTTTTAAATCTATTAATTATGGAAAAACAAAAGCCAGACCCCCCCCCCCCCCCAATTTTCCCGTGGCCAAACCTGGCTGCAGTTCAAGATGACACACTAATGACAGAACATAAAATAGGGGATAACAGATTTAAGAAATATGGAATATTAAATCTGTTATTCCCTACTTGTTAAATCAGCTATTCCCTACTTGTTAAATCAGCTGTTCCCTACTTGTTAACTGCGCTATTGCCTACTTGTTAAATCAGCTATTCCCTACTTGTTAAATCCAATATTCCCTATTTGTTAAATCTGTTATTCCTTACTTGTTAAATCCAATATTCCCTGCTTGTTAAATCAGCTATTCCCTACTTGTTAACTCTTTTATTTCCTACTTGTTAATTCTCTTATTCCCTACTTGTTAACTCTTTTATTCCCTGCTTGTTAAATCTACTATTCCCTACTTATTAAATCTAATATTCCCTAAATGATCAATCAGATATTCCCTACTTGTTAAATCTTTTATTCCCTACTTGTTACATCTTTTATTTCCTACTCTCTGAATCTGTTTTCCCCATTGTTAAGCTTCTAATTCTCTTTTTGTTAAATCTCTGGCCTATAACCCAAAATTTCAACAATTGAGATTTGTACGGAAATCTGAAGAGCTCACTCGTGTTTCTTTGTGGCAGTGGTAAAAACATGGACTGAATAAAAAATATGGCAACATAAACTTAAATGCACTTGGCCAGATAAGTGTCCAATAAAATGTCATTTTGCATGAACCGTCATGCAAACTCGGTCAACCTAGACGCATCACAATGCAATGAAGTTCAGTGATTAACATAACCTAAAGTTTGTGTTGAAAGGTGTCCGACTACTGAGGGAATCCAAGGCCAAGGTAAATTCCTAGCTCCAGGGCAAAGCAAGGGCGCGTCTCTGCCTTGAAATTACGTGTTGAAGTTAAAAGTTATTGTTCCCAGGGCTGCCACTCACTTTTTTAAAATTTCCCAAGATTTGGTCATGAAATTTCCCAAGATTTCCCAAGATCATGAAAGTATATATGAGTTTTTTAAAAAAAGGTGGGGGGGGGGGGTCCTTTGTCCTTAATGTAATGATAAATTGAATTGATGCCACTGAAAAAACTGGTAAAAAAATTGACTGAAATTTATTGAAAAGGACATTTTAAAAAAATGTTTATTACATAAAAGAAATAAACAATTTGTTTTTAAAAAAAATGTTTATTATCTTATTATCCAAAGTATCAATACCCACTGGAGTTAGGTTACTAAATGTTACCTCCAAATTCTGTGGTAAAAATATCATCTACAAGTGTAATAGAAGTCACTTGGAAACAAAGCTCACAAGGCTAATCAACACACAATTCCTTTT